GAGGTGTACCAGGCGCTACTACGGCACAGCCAGGCCTTGGAGAGTTGCGGCTGGGCCCCCAGCGCCCTCGTGGCCAGCAAGCCAGGGGCTCCGGATGACCTCGAGCACCTGGTCATGTACTCGCGGGGGGTGCCTGACGACACCAAACAGCTGGCCTCCTTCCTGCACGGCAATGCCTCGTTGCTCTTCAGACGGACCAGGGGGTCCCCGGCCTCCTCCGGGGAGGGCAGCCACCCCCACGGCACACCCTCCGAGAAGGCAAGCAACATCCAGTCACGGCCCTTGCCTTCTCCGCCCAAGTTCCTGGCCCAGGACTCGCCCGACGGGCAGTACGAGAACAGCGAGGGTGGCTGGCTGGAAGATTACGACTACGTGCACCTGCAGGTGGGCTTGGTCTTGGGGCAGGAGGGCCGGGAGGGAAGGGCCAGTCGGGGGGGGGGAGGACTTGTCCACCTCACACATTTGGAAATGCACCCACAGAAGTGTCCCGGGGTGGGTGGGCTGTAAAATGCCCAGGTCTGCTCTGGAGGCACCTTCCACTTTCCTTGTGTCTCAATTAGGGGAAAGAGGAGTTTGAGAAGACCCAGAAAGAGCTGCTGGAACGAGGCAACATCATGCGACAAGGCAAAGGACAGCTGGAGCAGCAGCAGGTCTATGGGAAAAAGGCACTCAACTCCTCTCACTCCCCCTCCCTCTCTCCCTCTCTCCCTCTCTCTCTTTCTCTCTCTCCCTTCCTCTCCCTCCCTCCTTCCGTCTCTCTTCCCCTCCCCCCCTCTCTCTCCCCCTCTCCCTCCCTCCCTCCCTCCCTCCCTCTCTCTCTCTCTCTCTCTCCCTCTCTCCCTCTCTCTCTCTCTCTTCCTCTCCCTCCCTCCTTCCGTCTCTCTTCCCCTCCCTCCCTCTCTCTCACAACACACACATACACCTCAAGCTTACGGCCATCTCTTGTAACTCACAACCATCCCGTTAAGTCTTTGCCTGTTTTGTGGGGAGACAAAAAAAAAAACATGATTTGTGTTACTTCTGTTGCCATCCTTTCTCAACAAGCAGTCCTGAACTTATGACTGGTCATTTAACGACCGTTCAAAGTTACAACGGATTTCAAAAAAGGGCCACTGATGGCCCATCCCCAAATTCACAGTGGCTGCCCACCCCACTAAATTCCCATTATCACATTTTGGGTGTTCGACAACTGACTCACATTTACGATTGGTTGGAGCGGTTGTAAAACCTAGTCCGGTGGTGTGGTGCCTCAATTTACGACTGCAGTGATTGGGTTGTGCTTGTAAGTCGGGGACTACCTGTATTTATGTAAGAGTTTGACCTATTTCCAGAACAATAAGTGGGGGATTGTTGCGTAGCCTTCTTTAAATGTGTGAGAAATGTGTTTGATCAGCCTAATCAGCAGGAATCCTCATGTCACTTTGTGATTTTGTCAATTGGCAGTTTTATAATTATCATCAGTTATGGCATCTCCTGCCTTTCTGCTAGCTGAGGTCAGTTAAAATATTACATGCACAAGGATCACAAGGATCAACTTAACTTCTGAATGGAGGAATAATTGCAGCTTTTACAGCCAGGGAGTGGAGATAGGGGGGGGGGCTGGTGTTCCTTTAGGCCTGCAGTCGGCCCAGGTTGGTTTTCATCTTTGTGACAAGGTTCTAACTGACAAACCCAACCAAGCAAACACCTTCAAGACGCTCCGATCTCTTAATGTAAAACTTTATTGAGTGCATCACTGCAGCACTAATGAAAGCAAAACCAGCTCTGGCCACACCCCTCCCAAACCCACATAGTAAAAGCATTGGATTCTCCCTCCTCTCTCTGGGTCAGGTCACATAGCCCAATCAAATAGAAAAATATTGTTATGAGAAAGGTTCTCTAGGTCTGGCCAGACATCTGGTGTAACGTCCTTGAGTCTCACGTTCTGGCTTCTTAATCTTTGATGTCTGCATTCCAAACCTCTCCCCACACCAGCAAAGCTGTACTTCAAAACTTGACGCTTTGCCCTTCTGCCCACAGCTGAAGCAATTTGAGCGACTGGAACAGGAGGTCACCCGCCCTATCGACAACGACCTGTCCAACTGGACACCCCCACAACACTACCCCCACGTGCGGGGGGGCGGCACAGCCCTGGGCCCCTCCGACCGGCAGCTGCTGCTCTTCTACCTGGAACAGTGCGAGGCCAACCTCACGACGTTGACCAACGCCGTGGACGCCTTCTTCACCGCCGTGAACACAAACCAGCCGCCCAAGATCTTCGTGGCACACAGCAAGTTCGTCATCCTGAGCGCCCACAAGTTGGTCTTCATCGGGGACACCCTGTCTCGCCAAGCCAAGGCCCAGGAGGTCCGCCAGAAAGTCACCCATTACAGCAACCTTCTCTGCGACCTGCTCAAGGAGATCGTGGCCAGCACCAAGACGGCTGCCCTCCAGTACCCATCCCCGGCTGCTGCCAAAGACATGGTAGAGCGGGTTCACGAGCTGGCAAACAGCACTCAGCAATTCCGGATGGTCTTGGGGCAACTGACTGCCCTGTGAAGAAGCAGAGAAGTTCCTGGATGAGTGAATGGACTGTAAATATTTTGTCCGGTTTACCTGCCCGCTGAAGTGCTGCCCTAGAGGAAGAGGGGGGAGGCACTCTTTCCTTGGTGGACACAGACCATGTCAGTCCTGGATCCCTGACCCCCCCCCAAGTGTTGCTGCAGCCAAGAAGACAGTCTCATCATCCCTTGCAGCGATTGTAGGGCGCAAATAATTATATTTTCCTGTTTGATTCCAGAACTGTTTGGCTAATGATCACTATTTAAATCAAATAAAGAAACTTGCAATCCAGTCTATTGGGACCTAAGAGAGTCTTCTCCATGGCGCGTGTGTGAATGTGAAAGAGAGGTGATGGCTGTTGACCTGTCTGCCCCCAGTTTGAATTTGCCCGAGTGATTGGGAGGAGGTGGAGTGTCCCCTCAGGGTTTCTGGGCTGATAATTGATGGTTGGCAGCTTCTTTCCATGGCCTTCCTGGCCTGGAGAAGACAAAGCCGGCAGTCTTGGTGCTTGGACATTTCTGCCAAGGTTTCAGAGCATTTTCTCCCCAGTTTCATCCAGGCTTTAAACCACACACACACACACACACACACACACACACCTTTGATGTAAAACCAGCCTGCAGAATGAGTTTCTTCAGGAAAAGGAGGCCTTGGTGTGCTTCTCCTGAAAGGAAAAATTCAGCTCCATCCTAGGAAAACTGCTTCAGCCATGCACAAGAGTATGGGGCACTGAAAAGCTTTTGCAGAATCTGTATACTATTAAAACTCTTGTTGACATAATCTTTAACTGGTTGAAATGATAGATCATAAGGCAACCATTTTTGAACCACGGTACCTGAAATGGGCTAACTTACAGAATATGTCCAAAATCCAGGACTCCCAAGGGAATGGAATTTGGGAAAGATGTGGCTGCTTTCACCAGTGCTACTGGCTGCTGCTGCTGTGGTCACGTGATCTTTGTTTTCAACTTTCTCTGACAGTTTCCCAGCCAGTCTGGCAATCCCTCACTCCCTTCCCCATTCAACAGCACCACCCACTTGTCTGCTGGGAAGAAAAGGGAGATTTCTGATTTTTGGCAGATTCCCACAAGGAAACCTTTAAAAATGGGCATCTTGTTAGGAAGTTGGAAGTTGCTCCTGCTTTTTTGCCCGATTATGGTTATTCTGTTTCTCTGTTTGGATGAGGAACCATCAGCCACATGGCAACCTAATGGGACAGTTTGTCTAGGGTTCCATTAAGAATGTCAACTCTTCTGTTTACCTCTCTTGGTGTCTGAGAATGACCTGTTGCAGGGCATAAAAGAAAGTTGCGGAGAAGAGGCCTATCCAGACAAAGCTAGAGGACCAGAAGTTGCTTGAAAATGAGCAATTCTGATGTTACTTCTGGCTCAAATTCAGGGTGTTTTTGAGTGGGTCAGTTTCCTGTGACTTCAGCTGTGCTAAAAAAAAAATTCCAAGTTCCCCTCTCAGCGTAGAAAGTCCAGTGGAAAGAAACCCATTGTCCACTGTTAGGAAATCATTGTTTTCCAGCTGATTATGAGTTACAAATCTGTTCCTTTTAAAATGCATAACTGAATGCAATTCTCTGTTCGCCAGGACCATGTATAGTCCTCACAAGATTGAAATCCCAAAGGCCAGCATGGAAAGCAGCCATTCGTTTGACAATCGCCCAGCTCAACCCCGAGAATGCCTGGAGAGAGGAACGGTCCAAGGCATCTTCTTGTGACCTGACCATTCGTGGTCCCTCTACCAAGCCACCTGGTTTCAACCTGCCTCGTTCGGTCTGGTCGAAATTTAACAGACTGAGGTGTGATCCTGGAAGAGGTGCCTCTGTCCTGTATCGGTGGGAATGGAAAGATTCCCCTTGCTGCGATTGTGGTGCTGATATGTGAACTATTGAATATATTGTGCAAGATTGCCCATGATGTGCGTTCTCTTGTTCCCTTGAACAGAAGTCACCAACCTTTCTTGGTTGGCTGACCAGAGGGGAAGGGAGGGGGAAGCATTGGGCTGCCCCCCCCTTCTGTAGAGAGTCAGGAAGGTGATCTTGATGGAGATGGAGATAGTCCTTGACATATAATCATTTGTTCAGTGAATGGTCAAAGTTACAACGTCATGGTCCTCATCGCTTAGGACAGGGGTCCCCAACCTTGGCAACTTTAAGACCTGTGGACTTCAACTCCCAGAATCCCCCAGGCTGGCCCCTCAAAGCCACAGCGGTGACATGTGGCCACTCCCGAAGGCTCAAAATGGTCTACAAAGCTGTGGGTTAGCCCCAAGATCAAAGTACCTGCAGTTTTATGTTCTGGCTTATGTTCAGGATTTATTTAAGTGCACCTTCCCCAGAGAGATCTTTCTGTCTTGGGTGGGCCGCCCATAAGCAAGACCAGGACGAGGCTCAAGGCAAAAACAGATTTAATGCATTCATTGCCGCCTCTCCTTCTCCCAGGGTCAGCCAATTCAGTTATTGGCCATGGTGCTCTCCAGCCAGTCACGCAAGACACCGACCCGAGCGTAGACAGCTGGCAAGGTGACCGAGCAGTAGCTGCTGCCCCAGGAAACGCTGCCCACCAGCTTCCAGATGTTGCCATTCTGACACACCAGAGGTCCGCCAGAGTCACCCTGCAGATGGCAAAAACAAAAAGTATTTGAGTTCCCCGAAGACCCCACTTTTTTCTATCAGGCAGAGTTTTAAGGGGTGTGATTGGCCCCGATGTTTTCCCACTCGGCGGCTGGAAATCAAAATATCTTCCAGGTTTGGCTGAAATGTGGGCAGGTTGCGCTTTAAGAACCAAGTTAGTGAAAAACCCAACGGCTGCATTTGTGCCACCCGCTAAGCTTGTTTAGTGTAAACCTGGTTAGTTTCTATGTGGCTTGTGTAAACCAGCCCTCTTTGGCAGTTTATCATGCGGTGTCTTGAATAACCGAGAAACGGGGGTGAATGATTAATCCAGCTAAGTGTGTTACGACTGTTGTTTTTTTTTAAAGCCATCCAACTTCAACCTGGGAAAAATGGAAAATCCCAGCTCACCCAGTGCGGCTGGCTCCCCACAAAATGTTGGGTGAACCTTAGTCCCTAGCCTGGATTAAAAACCAGTTTCCTATTAAGTACCAATTCAAAGGAAATAGTAGAGCTACAATATTTGGGTTGTAGTCCTTCAAATGTCCACTAGAGGGCAGCAAAGGGTTAGAGTTGTCTAGATCAGTGGTTCTCAACCTGTGGCCTGCAGAGCCCCCCCCCCCAGCCATGATGTTGTCACAGGGGGTCCATGAAGGCTTGAAGAAACGTTAGGATTGAAATCTTGAGTTAAGTCTTGCAGGTCCATGGCCACAAAAGGTATTTAAAGGAGGGGCCCTGTTGAAGAAAAGGTTGAGGATTACTGGTCTAGATCAGTTGTAAGATACCTGGACTGCAGACTGGGGCGTTCTGGTAGGGTTGCCAGGTCTGCTTCCCAAAAATAGCGGACAAGCGGGGGGGGGGGGTTAAGTAGTAAAAAAAGTAGACTGTACAGCTTTAGATTATGTACCATTTCATCATAAAGCTTTTGAATAAAAAAAATGTCCACTATTTTGTGAAAAAAAATAGTGAACATCATGTGAAAAAAGTGGACTGTCCACTCAAATAGTGGACACCTGGCAACCCTAGTTCTGGAACTTGGAAGTCCACACATCTTAACACATCTGAACAACTCTAATCCTCTGCTGCCCTCTAGCGGACATTTGGAGACCATATATAACAGCTCTACTATTTCCTTGGACTACTTGGTACTTAATAGGAAACTGTTTTTAATCCAAGCCCAAATATAGCAGCTTCTTAAAGTTGATGGGGTTGAGAAGCACCGGTTTCAATTTTTGCAACCCCAGTAAGAGCAGCCTAAAAAAGCGGGGATAAGCAAATGGAGGAGATTTGGGGTTGGGGAGCTCACCATACATGAAGAAGAGCCTGCCGCACCCGCGCAGATCATGGAACCAGTGACTTTGCTGCCCCAAAATTCCATGCACTGCTCATTGGACAGGAGAGGCAGGGCTGTTTGTTGCAACTTGCTCGGGGTGTCGAAAGCTGCAAGAGAAAAGATTAAATCAGCAGGCAGAAGGCTTCCGGTGCAAAGGATCTGATCCGTCTTTGGCTGCTCTCTGGCCTCCCCCAAGCTCAGAACTTGTCCCAGAAGGCTAATCGGCTGCACTATGTTGGGTTTTTCTTAGCCCCTCCCCCAGATCCCTGTTTGCATTATGCTGGAGACACAACAACACACCTTGGGCCTAATGTTGCAGCCTGCAGTGGACAAGAGAGAAAGCCACTTATCTTCCTGTTTCCCCTGGGTTCCCTCCCTCTGTTATTTCCCTTCAGCTGAATTTCAAATGTAATGTTTCCAGGGCAGGATTTAAGTTTTTGTAATCCAGTGCCGTGCAGAAAATAATAACTTCATTGTTGAGTTGATGATTTTGGCTACAAGAAACCACTCTTCTCTTCTCTTCTCTTCCCTTCCCTTCCCTTCCCTTCCCTTCCCTTCCCTTCTCTTCTCTTCTCTTCTCTTCTCTTCTCTTCTCTTCTCTTCCCTTCCCTTCTCTCCTGTCCTCTCCTCTCTTTTCTCCTCTCCTCTCCTCTCCTCTCCTCTCCTCCTCTCTTTTCTTTGCCACTGCCCTCTCTTCACCCCTCCCCTCCTCCTTCTCCCCTCTATTCCTCTGTCTCACTTTCACCTCTTCCCTTCCCTTCTCTTGGCACTCTGGTGCCACCTACTCCCTCAGGTTGTACAATACACCTGCAAACTCCTTGGTGAAGCGTGAGAAGAAGCCCTCAGCTTTCGTTCACTAACTGGGAGCGGAGATCCCTTCTCTGGATCCTGGCTGCTAGGAGGAATCGGTGGTCTCAAGACAGAGGCGTTTGTGGGACTGAGGGATGCTGAGCTTCTTAGTTTTGATTACTCCAATTCTCCAAATTATGGTTTGTATCACAGAGATATTATGTGCTGTGCTGCCTGGTCCGACTGCAGTTGTACATAAAGTAAAGCTCCTGCTGACTTACATGGACCTAATGAACCTTTCTTGGGAACAAAAGAAGAAGCTCTTCCAGATTTAGTCCATCCTAGGTCTGGCCATGTTTTGGGCCAAACTAGTTAGAGCAACCCTCTTTTCACTGTTTCCCTACTGGCTCAACGTATTTATTCTTCTGCACACTAGTCTCAATCCAAAGCAGAAGGAAGGAGCAGACCCCCCCCAAATAGCCAAGATTCCTCTCAGACCCACCATTGTAGCGTGTCTTGCCCCAGCCAGTGGTGACACAAAGGTCTCCAGGCTGGAAGGAGTCTGTGGCATCGGTCAGGCACACGGGAGACACTGTGTCACTGAAGACGGCAGGGGTGGCCAGCTTGATGAGGGCGATGTCGTTGGTGAGTTGTGCGGAGTCCCAGTCAGGGTGGATAAAGAACTGGTGGGAGAAGAGAGAAGCTGGTAAGGCTGCAAAGAAGGAGATGGTGACGTGAAGGAAGTCTGGGAGATCATTATGTCCCTCCTCACTTATCTTTGCTTATAGGTTTGCTCATCACCCTTTGCCAGCCTTTTGATTTCCAGGTCAGGAAATCAAAGTTATGAATGCTAATCCTATTTTTGGTATAAAGTTATAGTAACAGAAGATAGAATAACAGAGTTGGAAGGGACCTTGGGGGCGAGGCTCCTAATCCAACCACCTGGTCAAGCAGGAGACCCCGTGCCATTTAGGACAAATGACTGTGTATTCTCTTATTGCAACCATTCTTCATATGTTTTAGTCCCCTAATCATCTTGGTTGTTCTTCTCTGCATCCTTTCTAGGGTCTCAACATCTTTTTTGTGTCATGGTGACCAAACTGGATGCAGTATTCTAAATATGGTCTTAATAAGTCTTTATAAAGCGGTACTAATCCTTCACGTGATTTTGATTCTGTGCCTCTGTTTATACAACCCAGGATTGGATTAGCTCTTTTGGCTGCTGCCGCACACTGCTGGCTCATGCCTAAGTGATCGTCTACTAGGACTCCAAGGTCCCTCTCGCAGTTGCTATTTTTGAGACAGGTCTCGCCTACTCTGTCCTTGTGCCTTTGGTTTTTCTTGCCTAAGTGTAAGACTTTTATTGCTTAAGTGTAAGTGATTTTCTCCACATCGAAACTCATTTTGTTGGATAGGGCCCATTGTTCAAGTTTGTCAAGATCTTTTTGGATCTTGAGTTTGTCTTCTGGGGTGTTGGCTACTCCTGCCAGCTTGGTGTCCTCTGCAAATTTGATGAGTTCCCCTTCAATTCCCTCCTCTAAGTCATTGATGAAGATACTGAAGAGTCCTGGGCCTAAGACATCTGGTGACTTCACCCACCTTCTGAACAGGCAGCTTCTGTATGTCCTCTTCAGGAGAGCTGCGGTCAAATTCTCCAAGCACCACAACATCGCTGGTCCTGTGGGAGGCAAACAAAAAGTGAATGCTGGGCACACATCAAGAAAGCACGGGCACAGCACGGCTTGGCATCAACCTGCAGAAGTGGGTAGGTGACCTCAAGCTCCCAGAATAGGGAATATAAAATTAGGGCTGAAGTCCCGGACGGTCTTTCAGAAGATTTCCCATTCAGGCTGTGGAGGGGTTTGGATTTAATGGAAGACCTTCTCTGAACTGAATGTCCTTCTAAGATGCTGATGCCCGGCTGTGGACGATGGGATCACCACACAACTTGACTTTTCTTCCCACAGTAGCTCATGCATGTTATTGCCCCAAATATCTCCCCTACAAGCTCCACTGCCTGTTGTAATTGAAGGATCAGATGAAAGAATGGGGATCAGAGGAAGGGGTCCTATGTGGAGGTAGGACCCAGGTGTGGTTGTGATGGCCGTGGGAGCGAGCAAGATGAATTCTGAGAAGAAGCATTTACTCTTAAACTCTTAAACAACTTTTCCTTTAACTGCTTTTTCCCCTTCTGCTCACTGAGGGATTTGCAGACAGGTTTGCTAACGGGGGGACTGCAGGGAATGGGGTGTGCAGGGACAATGAAGTGAGACAGATTCACAGGTTTAACCACTTAGCCAGGATGCTGCGCTTCGTTTACAAGAAATGGTAACAACCACATAGCTGGCACAGGAAACTAGAAGCTTTAGGGAGCTGCAATCCAGGCAGCCAATCAATATTATACGTTATGCGTGTATTATCAGGGGGAGAGAAAGAGGATGAGTTGGGTGGGCAGAGGGATGTATGAAACTCACCTTTGATTATAAAAACTGCTGTAAAACTGTAAACGGGGCCTCAGTAGTAGCGTTCAAAGCCGGGGTGACTTTCATCTTTGGTACCAAAATAAAAGTCTGTTTTTCCATACCTTGGATTTGATGTAATTAATTGGCTTCGACGCCAAGCTAAGACCCAGTTTTGGGAACAACATAATCTCCCCACAGCAAGGAAGAAGATGGGTACTCACGTCACCCCACAATGGGCAGCTGTCACCACCCAGTTCTCATTAATCAGAGACCCACCGCAGAAGTGCCATCCACTTGGCTCCTGTGAGGAAAGCCAACACAAAGAAAATGTGAGACCCACAGAGCCCATGTCAGGGTGTAGCTGACAAGAGACACACACTGCGTGGCCCTAGAGAGCTCTTCCGAACTAAATGAGGCCATAATGGATCCCATACTTTGAGCCTCCTGTTCAAGTCCTTCTGAAACAGGTAGTCTGACCCCCCCCCCCACCAGGATATAATTGCAGGTGTCTGAAGCCCCTATCCCCCAATGGGGTTCAGAATCAGGTCTAGGCAATTCCATAATCTTTTCTAGTCAATTTCACAATCTCTTCATAATGTCTCTTCTACCTTCTTCCAGGGATATCCCCAAAATATGGTTTAAAAAAAGTTAAGATGTCGGCCACAATGAAACAATCCTAGCTCTGGATCATGAAGCACATAAAAAAAATGAGGAAATCTTCCAACACATCATCGTAGCTGCCATTCTGATTTTTTTCCCCACCACATTCTGCAGACATCTCTGCCAGGTACCATAGATACAGGGATGTTCCTAAGGCTTATGCAAGGAAGCTGCGTCTTTGCCTACAAGACGGGCAGGTGCCCGAGTTCTTTGCTGGCCTCTGAAGGGGCCTCTTGGGTGGCTCAGAGATCCAAGCGAAGCCCTTGAGGAACTGGATCCCTGCTTCTGCTCTGCTGAGAAAGGCCATTTCTGCTCAGGGATCCTGTGAGGCATTCATGGACAATTGGCCGGGCTGATTCTCTGAAAGCAGGAGAATCAGGACCCTGCAGAAGCAGAGCTGAGCCCTTGGATTCCAGCACTCCAGAGGCCCACCAATTGGAGGGAAATAAGGAAATAAAAATTCAGGGGTGCCAGGTCGCCCTCCAATTGATAGAAAATTTCACACACAGGCAGATACACACAAATAACACAGCCTTTTTTAAAAAGAAAAAGAAAGAATTTCCCAGTTTTGTCTTCCCTTAGGCAAGAACTGTGCATGTGATGTCCATGAAAAGCAAAAGAACGCACTATTGCAGCTGCCGTTGTGACACTTCTGACCACATGCCACAGATATCCTTGCGTGGATATTTTTTTTGGGGGGGGAGAGGGAACGTGAAATAGGCTGCACAGAACATCAAGCCCTGGGCCCCCTGGGGGGCTTTAATCTGTGATTAAAATAAAATCAGAAGGAAAAGCGGGGAGACCATATGGAAGAAGGAAACGGAAGAGAATGCCATCTGGAGGCCTGGTAAAATGTTGTGCAGAAGGTGTGCCAGTGATACAATAAAAGCTTCATGTGGAAATGCTTGGTGCTAGTGTGTAGTAATTCATTTGCACTTGGAAGGCGGTGTGAGCAGAAGCCTTATTCAAGCTTTAGCTCTGTGGCGTGTGCATTCTGCGCCTGGTCAGAGGCTCTGCCACCTCTTTCGTCAAGCCCTGCAACATTGAGGGAGCCAGGCCACAGTTGGAAGCTTCTGGAAGAGAAAGCGTCAAGCAAGAGGCAAAGCAGCCATCCCCTTCCCCGTGCCCATTACCTGCAAGGACGCCTGCCAAGACCACGATCCGGGCACTGCATCCTCTCCATTGACGATCCGGGCGTAGCCGGAGATCACGGGCTTGATTGCAGGATCCCCGCAGGCTGCAAGCAACAGAGAAGATCAACTTTCCCAAATTCTGCAGCTGGCTTTGAGTTAGTGGCCATCAACGTCCCCCTGGGAGAGGAAAGCAGCCAGGAAAGGGGGGGGGGTTCTCCAGATAAGGATTCTCTTCCATTACTCAATATTACGTTGAAGATTTCTGCATGGCAGGTGAAGTTTTGTGTGCGTGTGTACATGGATGGTGAGTGGGGATTGCTGAGCGGGGGGGTTGGACAAAAAGACGTCCACGGTCCCTCCCAACTGTGTTATTCTGTTATTCTGTCTTACAAAAGGCTGTGCGTTTCTAATTTTCCAAAATGTTGCCGTTTTTTCCAAGCTTCCAACAGGACTGAAAAAAGGGGCTTGCCACCGGTCCTTGCAGTTGTGATGGACGCAGCATCTCCACAGCCATGTGATCGAAATTTGGGCAGCTGGCATGTATTTATGACCGACACAGAGTCCCGGGATCGTGCCATCACCATTTACAATCTTCCCAGCCAGCCGATGACAAGCAAGGTCAATGGAGGAAGCTGCGTTTGCTTAATGACCATGGCATAAACCAGGGGTAGGCAACCTTGGCTCTTTTATGACTTATAGCTGGCTCAGAAATTCTGGGAGTTGAAGTCCACCAGTCATAAAAGAGCCAAGGTTGCCTACCCCTGGCATAAACGGTCACAAAATCAGGGGCGAATCGCTGAAGAACTGCCTAGCAATTAGACGACCTCTAATGGCACTCCTAAGTTCTTGCCAGCTAGTTGGCCGACCAAACCCTGGATAATTCAGCCAGGGATGGGGATGACGTTCCCCACCTCAGGGACTGTGGAAAAATTCACAAAGGGCTGGATACTTACGTGGTGGTGGCAGAGAAAAAGCAATTGCAGCACTGACAAATGCCAGGCAGGGTAACAACCACAAAGCAGCCATGTTTGAACCTTCGGAGTCAGCAACTTCGTGGAAGGGAAGGTACAGGTGCTGCTACTTTTATATAGTGTGTGTGTGGGAAAAGTTTACAAAGGTTTGTATACCCAGCATACAACATTCTGCTGAGTTTTCCACTGCAGCCTGTGACACGGGGGTGGTCCAGGGCTCATGCGTCTGTGGGAATGGACACACCGGTCACTTGATAATACAATCAATAATTGGCAGGAGCTTGTAATGCGCATATGAGGATATTGAGACATGAATGGAATAGGATAGAATAGAGCTGGAAGGGACCTTGGAGATCTTCTAGGCCAGCCCCCTGCTCAAGCAGGAGGACCTATACCATCTCAGACAAGTGACTGTCTAGACTCTTCTTGAAAGCCTCCAGGGATGGCGTTCCCGCAACTTCTGGAGGCCAGCTGTTCCTCTGGTTAATTGTCCTCACTGTCAGGAAGTTTCTCCTTAATTCCAGGTTGCTTCTCTCTTTGATCAGTTTCCAACTACTGTTTCTCATCCTTTCATCTGATGCTCTGGTGAACAACCTGGCCCCCTATGCCTTATGGCAGCCCCTCAAATACTGGAACGCTGCTATCATGTCTCCCCTATTTCTTCTTTTCCTTAGACTAGCCAGACCCAAGTCCTGCAGCCGTTCTTCGTATGTTTTAGCCTCCAGGCCCCTGATCATCTTAGTTGCTCTTCTTTGAATTTTTTCCAAACTCTCAACATCTTTTTTGTGATATGGTGACCAAAACTGGCTGCAGTTTTCTAGGTGTGGTCTTACTAGGGCTTTGTAAAGCGGTAATAGTACTTCTCATGATCTTGATTCTATGCCTCTGTTTATACAACCCAGGATTTTATTAGCTTTTTTGGTTGCTGCTGAACATGGCTGGCTCATGGTCAATGGGGAAAAAAAAGAGTGGGAGAATTCTGCAGGGTTGGAATGGAAGGCAATGACCTCCGGATCAGCTGTGAAATTCCACGAAGAGCACCTGCTTAGTAAAAGCTGTTTCTTGATGCCAGCGTGGTGACAGATGTTGGCACTAGAAAGGGAGGCGTTATCGCCCAAACTGCTCCTCCAATGACAGGTTCACCTCAGAGGTTACCTGGCCTTCTCCTCCCAACAGCACACCTGTTTCATGATGGAACGTTCACAGCTAAAGTGAACACCTGCTCCTCTTATGCAAGGGGTTCTCCCTGCCAATAGCTGGAGACAGGGACAGCCACCATTGCCAGCTATCCAGTCCTCTGTTCCCTTCCAGGAGTCATGTTCACACAGCTCCAAGTTCCCACAGGTCTCCTTGGATACAAATGAACAGCATCTCCATTAGAAGATCGTGTCATAATCATGTTTGGACCTTTAGAATGGTCCAACACCTATCTACCTTCCTTCCTTCTCTCCCTCCCTCCCTTCTTTCCCTCCTTCCCTGTCCTGCTTCCTTCTTCCATTCTCTCCTTCCTTCCTTCCTTCCTTCCTTCCTTCCTTTCCTTCCCTCCTTCCTTTCCTATCTGCCCTCCCTTTCTTTCTTTCTTCCTTTCTTCCTCCTTTCCCTGTCCTGTTTCCTTCCTCCCTGCCTCCCTCCTTCCTTCTTCAATGTATGTTGCATAAACCAAAGGAAATAACTGATCCAAGAACCAAGATTAGGTTAACCGTGGAAAGGCCCATTGTAGGAATACTACCAATCTCACTTTGGGCTGGCACCAAGGGCAGGAAATTTTGCATTCAGAGTTCCTCCCAGATGCTCACTAAGCCAACCTTGTTTTTACAAGCCCCGAGTAGCAATTTTTTTCTCTCGTTTTCCCCTGAGGATCCCTTGCTGTTATTAAGGAGTCCACGGCTACATATGTGAAAATATATGAGGCAATTTGTGCCTGTCTTTTCCCTGTTCCAGATTATTTTTTTTGCCCTCCTTTCAACATTTCTACCTCCTTTCCTGGAAGTTCTCATCAGTCTTAGCTCCTCACACATGCACATTTACACACCTACACACACAGGAACACCAACATTATTTTCTTCACCCATGGAGAGGATTTTGGCTGGATGGAAGCAACCGGGTAAGCTGCAAATTGGGGCATCTCAAATATATTAAATGGGTCATATTAAAAATTTAGGCTTTCTTAATGACAAGAATTAAATAAGTCTCACACTGTGCAGTTCAGCGCAGTTTCCATTGAGTGTAGAGCTGACTACCATCTTTTTGTTAAATCATAAAAAGTTATCCACAGGGAATGCAAACTTTGCTCTGAGGGATTTACAATGTTCAAGGCCAAGATAACCAGAGAGAAACCTACAAGATACCCAAAGGTGAAGTCAGCTCTGAATCAGGCTCAATTCCCAAGACCTTCGTGGACAGTTTTCGTGGGAAGAACATGAATGTGGCTTCCTTTGGCTTCTTCTAGGATGTCTTGTTGGCTTCTTAGCCTAGTCTGGGTCTCTAGGACTTGTTGGTGGCCTCCCAAGCCACTAATCTTGGAGGCCACCACCAAATCTAACCTGCTTAGTATTTGATTCCCTTAGTGTGGCTGAAAAATGCCAGGGGACTCAGCTAATCGGGACGTGGCTTCAAGGGAGAGGCCACTGCACTACATAATTCAGGCTATTAGATTAGAATGATCTGCAAAGGTCCTTCCAACTCTGTTTCTATTCTATTCTATTCTATTCTATTCTATTCTATTCTATTCTATTCTATTCTATTCTATTCTGATTTCTATTCTATTCTATTCTATTCTATTCTATTCTACTCTACTCTACTCTACTCTACTCTACTCTACTCTATTCTGTTCTGTTCTATTCTGATTTCTATTCTATTTTATTCTGATTTCTATTCTATTCTATTCTATTCTATTCTATTCTATTCTACTCTACTCTACTCTACTCTACTCTATTCTGTATTCTATTCTATTCTGTTGATTTCTATTCCATTCTTGCAGGGCTGACAGAGGGCTACATTCGCACCCAGGTCGACGGGCTGCAAGCCTGAAGGGTGAGGCTTTGAGCAAAAACCTTCTGCCTCAAATACGGCCACCCCTTACGGTTGTCTTCATGCCATGTCACCTGGCCCCTTGCCCATCCACCCACCTGGCCTGACTTTAGGGAACTGAGCTTATCTTCAAGGTCTTCAAGCGATAAGATGGTGGCAAACCAGCCTGAGCCAGCCCTCTTCTCTGCCCCCTGTCCCCCCCCCCGCTCCCTATATAAGGATGCATGGCTTTTGCCCTGCTTCTCCTTCTTTCGGGAAACAAGATGGCCCTGGTCTGGTTGCTCTCCTGCTTGGCTCTCCTTGGTGTTGCCAGGGGTGAGTACCGTAAGCTTCCTCTTCCTTGCCCTTGGTGGTGGGGAAGGAGACCCAGCGTCCGTTTCTCTGCGGGTGGTTTGAGATCGGTCCCTGAGGGGGAGGCAGGAGGCTTGAAGCTCCCTCTGACATCTCTGGAAAGGACTCTGAATTCATGGCCTTCAACCAAACTAAGCACAAAGGTAAAGGGGTCCCTGAGGGCTTTACAGAGAGTCCTCGACTTATAACGGTTTGCTCAAAGTTACCACGGCACTGAAAAAAGTGACTTATGACCGTTTCTCACACTTACGACCATTGCAGCATCCCCAGGGCGACGTGATTTACATTCGGATGCTTGGCAACTGACTCACATTTATGACGGTTTGCAGCGTCCCAGGGTCACGGGATCCCCTTTTGTAACCTTCTAACAAGCAAACTCAATGGGGAAACCAGATCCGTTTAACAACGGTGTTACTAATTTAACAACTGCAGTGACTCACTTAGCAAATGTGGCAGGAAAAGTCGTAAAATGGGGCCAAATAGGTACTGCACACTGAATAGGTACTGCACACAGCTAGACCTCAACCTATGACCGCAATTGAGCCCAAGATTTTGTTGTTAAGTGAGAAATTTGTTACTTAACAACATAAATTTTCGGCTCAATTGCGGTCGTAGGTTGAGGTCCAGCTGTGTGCAGTACCTATTCATCTACTTGCATTTGCAGGAGCTGAGACACTTGACGGGAGCTCACTCCATCTTGTGGCAGTCGGGTCTTGAACTGCTGAACTATAGACCTTTAACAGTCCAAGACTCAGCATCTGAACCATTGAGCCACTGCACCCCTGCAACACTAAGCACAACTCAACTAAAATCCAGGGGCTGGCAACTGCCTCTCCATCAGTCCTTTTCAGCTATTACCATCGACTTAAGATGCTACCTGCATTATCCAGCCACAAGAGCATGACTTAAATTTCTACAAAAGTCTGCCTTTTGTAACTCCAGACCTGCAGGCGTCCTAGATATGGAAGACCCCACTGGATTTGTTCTGATTTACAGCTACTGTGTTCACTACACAACTAGACTCCAGTGTGGAAAGTAAATACTGGGCTCTATCCCTTAGCAATAACAGGTTCAAAGGAAGATCACCCTCCTCCCAGGTCTGAGTCCCAGGTCTGATCACCCCCCCCCAGGATTAACATTCTGATTCATTGCCAGGTTGTGGTGTTCCCGCCATCGCTCCTTCAATCACTGCCTATGCCCGGATAGTCAATGGGGAAGATGCCGTGCCCGGGTCATGGCCTTGGCAGGTCTCCCTGCAGGTAAGAACGCATCACATGATTTGCTTTTCCTGGAAATTGGGAAGACAATTTGGAATGGAATGGAATGGAATAGAAGTAAAGTGAAGTGAAGTGAAGTGAAGTGAAGTGAAGCGAAGCGAAGTGAAGAGAGTAGGAAATAAAGAATAGAATAGAATAGAATAGTTGGAAGGGACCTTGGAGGTCTTCTAGTCCAGCCCCTTGCTGAAGCAGGAGAACCTGCTAGCCAAACTAGACTAGCCAAACCCAAGACCTGCAGCTGTTCTTCATGTTTTAGTCTCCATGCTTTCTGGCTGGGGAATTCTGGGAGTTGAAGTCCATCCACCTTAAAGTTGCTAAGGCTGAGGATCATTGATCTAAAGTGATGGAGAAGGGAAGCTCTATAGCAACTGTGGTCATCAGGACAAGTGGCAAATGTGGGGAGGATCAGTGGGGCAAATAAACTGTTGACAGTCTTGGGTCTGCTGCCCAGAGGGCTGGTGAACTGAGAAGCTGAGCATTTCGCGACGTTTTTCTCACGGTCCACTCAATCTCCTCCATTCTGTAGGACAAGACCGGCTTCCATTTCTGTGGAGGATCTCTGATCAATGAGAATTGGGTGGTCACTGCTGCCCACTGCGGTGTCAGGTAAGAATGGTGCTCTTGAAAGATCTAACCAGAGAGGTTCTGAGGTTCAAATTTCTGAGGAACTAGGTCCTCTCTAGGCTTGGGGGTCAACAATGTAGAGATCATATAGACAACAAGGCCCTTAAGAAAGTGTTTCCTAGACAGCATAAATCTTAATTTTCACTTCCTCAAATGCTTTTGTGCTTCATTGCCATCCTTAGAAAATCATTAAGACCCTTAATGAGACTGCACTTGGAATATTGCATCCAATTTGAGTCACCATGATTAAAAAAAAGATGTCGAGACTCTAGAAAAGGTGCAGAGAAGAGCAGCCAAGATGATTAGGGGACTGGAGGCTAAAATGTTCAATGAACAGTTGCAGGAATTGGGTATGTCTAGTTTAATGAAAAGAAGGACTAGGGGTGACAGAAGTGTCCCAATATTTGAGGGGCTGCCATAAAGAAGAGGGAGTCAAGCTATTCTCCAAAGCCCCTGAAGGCAGGACAAGAAGCAACGGATGGAAACTAAGCAAGGAGAGAAACAACCTAGAACTAAGGAGAAACTTCCTGACAGTGAAAACAATTAATCAGTGGAATGGCTTACCTTTGGAAGTTGTGGTGCTCCATTACTGCAGGTTTTCAAAAATAGATTGGACTGACATTTGTCCAGATGGTATAGGGTCTTGAGCAGGGGATTGGACT